CCCGTGTTACTTCGTTCAATCCAGACAGTGATCAACACCAGAACCAAAATGTGTTGCATCCTGTTCCGAGATGAGTGTCTTTCTTCAGTGAACTGCTATGATCAGACCCAGTCATTGTAGCTTCTGTTATTAGCATGGACAAAACTTGCTGACAAGAGGTTTTAGTTGGTGTGACTCAATATGCGATTTAGCTATACACTTGACCTTCTCTCAAAGACAAACAGATTAGAGATCAGAGATTCCAAAGGTTTTTTGAATACACAAAGAACCATTGAATTCAGGTATTTCAGTAACTATGTCAACTAGTTTATTCTCAGATGCAACATGTTCAATGACAACAAGTTTTTCCTCAATCAGTTCTCTAACAAGATGATGTCTACTTTCTACTTGCTTAGTCAATGATAATTGAAGATGATTCAGGATTACAGTGACGACATTTAAGTTAATGCAGTGAATATCAAAAGGGTCGAAAAGACTACCATACTCAACGTGTATTGATCTCTTTACCAGTATATGAGTCCACAACTTTCTCAAGGCTGTGTATCCCATTTCAGTAAGACACTGTGACGCCTTGTGACACACCATCATGTTGTTCACCTCATTCAAGTAACAAGTAAGATTTTCTTCACATGCTCCTGTCATCACAATGTTAGTGTCAAAAGAATTATGTAGATTGAGCTTAAGAATACCTTTCACATGTTTCCAGTGAGTTTTGACATCCACTGGGTGTGATGCTCCTGAAGTAGCTTGCAAAAAGGTGCCTGTGTTGGTAGTAAGACTGAGATTTGATCGCCTGCCAGTGATGTCAACCAAGCTCTTACTTAGATTCTGGTGTGTAACATCTTCTTTTCTGTGTGTTACATATTGCTGATACAGACTCTCTGATATAGCAACAATTTCTTTAGGCTGTATTGATCTCATCTGATCCACGTCTGTAATCACGTTTGTAGCAGTTTTCTTGTTGTTACATGCTTCTACATAGACTGTGTTCCTTTGATCACTATGACCTGAAGTTGTCTTTTCTTCTTTCACCTTTTCTTCCTCTTCAAGATGACTTTGAGATAAGTTGCAGACACACTTTCTAGTATGTTCCTCTTCATCCATGTGTGAGGAGCTATGCTTAGGATGTAGCTCTTGACTTTCTTGATTTCGGACCTCTGGTTCTTGGACTGAAGTGTGTGCCCAATTGCAGAGAACTTCTTCAACGTGTTCTGTAGGGCGCTTGTGTGACACATCAATTTCAAGGTGTGACTCATGACTCGCCTGTCTTCTAAACTTAGGATATAGATCCTTTTTAGCAATCCACACATGTCCATACTTCTTAGGTTCTACGAAGCACAAATTTAGTCTCCAAGCACGTTCATACTGATGTCTGCGAGAGTAACAAAATCTGACATTATGACCACGTTTACCACAGAAGTGACATCCATTCTTTTTCCTACTTGGATTTGTTTTGCCTTTTGTCTCAAAGTTTGCAGCAACAGTTTTGATTTCTTCTGGTTTCTTGTTCTCATGTGCTCTCGGTGCCTCTTTCACAAACTTTGTTTCTGTAGATGTGGAACCAAATCCCTTGTATCCCAAGCCAATGCTGAGACTTGGACACTGTCCCAATGTCAGTATGTGATCAAGAGATGCAGTACCCGCTGAGAGCATTCGAACCTTCTTGTGATTCTCAGTAAGCTGACTCTCGAGTAGTCTGCTTCGATCAGTCTCCATAGCCAAGAGATCACTTAACCTTTGCACTTTAGCTTCAGCTTCCTTATGCACTCGTTCCTGCTCTGTCATAGCTCTCTTAAGTGCAAGAACTTCTTGATCTGATTCTCGGTCAATTGAGTACTCCTTCGTCT